CTACAAAAAGTTTATGAAGAATTTTATAACAAATGGTTCGTAACCCAAATCTCAGGACGAGAATTTTATAAGGGGGGAGGGCTGTAACACCCCGGTGTTATGCCTACATTTAGGCACTGCGAATCACGCATATCATGCATCATCTAGCATCCAAATCATACATGCTTAATCATGTGAATAACAATTGAAACATTGCTTTGAAACATCTGAAACATGCGTGAAACCTGAATGTTGCATACACCTGTTTAAGAATTGTTTTGCCCTGAATTTTTCTTGCTAGGTTAGTAAAACATGTTTGGCTACTATTGTAAATCATCTAGCAATGTTTAGTTCAATTTTTGGAGCAATGTTTGTATTCAAATTAATTCAAAATTTGGCTTCAAAAATAAATTCCCAAAATTAAGGTTTTGAGCTAAACGTGGACTTTGATCTTACAATTCAAAATCTAGAAAGAATTTGGCTGTGGTCCTAAAAGCAAAGTTGTAGAGAATTAAATTCTAAGCAACTTTCATTTTTGGTACATTTTCAAAAAGGTCATTTTCTTGCTCAAAATAATATTTGAAAGATGGCATTTAAAATTCCTTGAAAATATATTTGGAAAAAGGATTTTTCTCCTTCATGTCCGCCGCCTGCCTTCTCTCCCGCCCTTTTAGCACCCAACCCACAAGCAGCCAAGCCCCGCTCCACCCACTCACCTCGCCTCGGCCCGGCCAATGCCCTTTTTCCTTCTCCAGCGCCCGTCCCATGTCGCCAGCGCCATACCCCGACCAGGGTCGCTCTCGCTCGCGTGGCGACCATGCGTCGGCCTTCCCACCATGGCGGCCACGACCTGCGCCCGCGCCAGCCACGCTGCCTTCCTTCAATCGCGCAGCAGTCGCTCGCTCACTCCGCCGCCAGCGCCTTTCCCTCTCCTCCAGAGCCGAGAGCCCCAAGCTCTCGCCTCGCCATACACGCACCACCGCGCACTGGCCGTGGCTCCTCCACCTCGGCCGGAAATCGGCGCGCGCGCAGCTCCGCCTCGCCCTCCTTCAAGTCGCGCTCGCGCTTCGCTTTTCCGAGCTCGAGTTGAGCCTCCCGAAGCCACCGCCAACCGCCATGGGCGCCGCCGGTGCTCGGCGCCATGGAAGTCGACTTCCTTCTCTCAATTCCCCTAGCTACCCTACCACACTCGCCTTCTTCTAGCGCATCACGTCGCTCGCCACCATCGCCGCCGTGGCCGGAGATGGCCACCGCCTCGTGGTAAATGAGCCCGAAGCCGTCTTGCCGCGCCAGGTCTGCACTGCCGTGAGGCACTCACACCTCGACCAAGCCGGCAGGCGGTAAAGCCAGCGGCGATGGTGACGTCTCTTGGCCCATCTTCCCTCCCTTGCGCTCGGGCACAGAGCAGCTGAAAACGGCCGTGGGCCAGCTGATTTCCAGCGGGCTGGCCCAGTATCGTTTAAATGAATTGTTTTTCATTTATTCTTTATTATTTGAAATTTGAAATGGTTTGAAAAATGTTTGGGTACTCAAAGTTGCTCCAAATCTGTTGAAATAAATTTGTCTAGGTTCCTTATCATCAGATCTACTTGGGAAAAATTGTGCATGTCATTTTTGAGACACTTTGCTGTAGAATTTTATTTAATCATGAATATTGCTGATAACTTGAAAAATATGTAGAAAAATCTATAGGCTTCAGAAAAATATGATTTCAAGTTTGTTAATCTTCTTATGTCATGTATTTCCTAGGAAAAATATGTTTCATGCATGTGCTGTGGGAAAATTTTGAGGTGTAGTTCAAGTACCTTTAATAGCTGATTTTTGTTATTTTTGCTAGAGAGCAAACTTTGTACAAAGCATGCATGTGATAATTTTTGTACAGTCATTGTATGCTATGAAGAACCTAGGAAAAATACTAACTCTGTTGTTTGACACTTTTCACAGTTCAAAGTATTTTATATTTCCTAATCACCGCCATGCCTTGTCATTTTTGTGTAGACTATTTTACTTATCCAAACGCCATGAAAATTTTATGGTAGTCTACTTAGAGTAGTACTATGCTACTGTAATTTTCTTAGATTTTTATAAGCACCAGAAATATAGGTTGCTGTTGTAGCCCTAGTTTAAAATGAAATAAAATAATCCTCTTTAATGCAAGCTAGTTAATAATGTTAGCTTTGGTGTATCTTTGAAGCATTTAATAAGATGTGTTGGCTTAACATATTAGTAGTAGAAGAGAATGCAGTAGATGACATGTGCTTGTAGTATATTTTCTTGGATGAGGTTGACTACCTTGCATTCAAACATATCCATTGTATTCATCTCATCCGATGCACCGATTGCATAAGCACTTACACGCATTGCATCATACAGGATCGCAAACCGAGAACCCAGTCGTCATACCCGAGGAGCCCGAGGAGCGATTCGAGTGCGTACCAGAAAAGTGCCGAAGCCGACGAGGAGGACGTTGAGGAACTTCCTGAGTGCCCGATCACCGTCCGAGCTCCTTTCGAGAGAGGCAAGCCCTGAGCATTTTTCTCCGGTTTGCAATGATTTAATTAAATGTTTTACTTTAATTGATGCATTATGTTCGTGGAGTTGTTTGCAACCGCTTCTTTGCATTATACCTTGTTTACCTTTGTTATACTATATCCTTGTTACCACGGTATCCGCAATCAGTCAATGCTTAGCTGGCTTAGACCGGTAGAAGTCGGGTGATTTGCTGTCACCTGCGAGCTATAGGTGGTTACCTGGATCTGCTTGGATGACTATGAAGTCATGGTATAACTAAGTGTTAAATGAAGTTGAGACCGGACGGAGACTTGCGAGTTTTGGACCAGAGTGTTTCCGTGCAGTGTCGATTAAGGACCGACCGTTGTTGGGCCTCGAGTCATGTTGAACGATGCCTTACATTTAGTCGGCGGGATAAAGTACCTTCCGATCGCGAAGCCGGGAGATTTTTTGGCCGAGTAGATTGCTCAGTAGCGCCTTTGTCTTGGGAAGCGGTGTGGTAGGACACGGGGCGGGATGATAAGACCAAAGTGCGATCGGTCGGCCCCGGTACATGTGGTTCTGGCAAACTCGAGATACACGAAAGTTGACTCGGTGATCAATATCTCACTTTAGCGGGTGAATGAGGTTTGTGTAAGGAATAAATCACCAGCTGGTTAGGAATCGATTCGAATCGCCATCGCTCCTGGATAGTGAGCACTTGACTTGAGTGACTTCATCGTAGTAAATGTTTATGTAACACTTGGACGCTTATAATGAATATGACAAGATGGAAGTTGTTTAATGATCATTGGTTATCATTATCTGCTTAATCACATGTTTACTCTAGTATAGGTGCAAATCTAGTCGACAGGTTCATAATAATTAACTTGGCAATAATGCTTTTAGAAAGGTTCTTGAAATGCTAAAAATGCTTCTTTTGCCAAATGAGTCACTACCCTACTTTAAAGCCCTTCATAATCCTTGGTGTCACTTATTTTCGGTTATGTCGGGTAAGTCTAGCTGAGTACCTTCTCGTACTCATGGTTTTATTCCCACTTGTTGCGAGATGGGCGGATGTATTACTGCTCTTGTATCAACTCACAGATCCTGCGATGGGTGATGCTTAGGACCATGGGCATGGTCATTCCTTATGTCTCGTCTAATGCTTTTGTTGGAGATGATCATTCGCTGTCACTATATTTGAACTCCGCGTAAGTGTGTGTGGTTTGAACAAATAGCTTCCGCTACTTTTATTCGAACTAGTTTTGTAATAACTATGTTTAAACTCTGATGTATCTGAGATTGCGAACTTTTATGTAATATGTGATGGTGACCGCTAAACTTATTACGATCTTGGCTGGAATGGAAGTTGGTTTGAAATCCTTCGTGATTTCACGGACTACCGGGTTATACGGGCTTACGTTTGCTAAATCGTCTGCTCTGGCGGATGATTTTCTTACTTAATTTCGTATAATTGGTCGGTTCTGTTACACAAGTCTTCGTTTTGTGGGCCGGACCGCCCCCGGTGGCGCGGCCCATGTCCATTGCCGTGGCTACCTGAGGTTAGACCCCCCACACCAACTTACCAAGGGATTAGAGGAGCAGCAGCACAAGCCCTTGGTGGTGTGGAAAGGACTTAGCTCAAGCTCCTCCCCCTTGTTCTTGCTTCTCTTGAAATCTCCTCCTTGCTCCTTTTTGCTAGGGAGAGAGGGCTCCCCCCTCTTCAATCCCAGCAGCAACTTGTGGATCTCCTAGGTCTCCTCCATGGCCTTCCTTGCTGCTCCTCTCCTCCAAATCCTCCTCCTTCTCCTTTGTGTTCTTGGTGTGTTCATGAGTGAGGGTGAGAGGGAGATTAGAGAGAGAGAGAGAGAGTGGGAGTGAGGGAGTGAGTGAGAGTGAGCTGCTGGTGACTTCCACTTCTTGCAAATGGGGACAGGTGGCCTGTCAAGTGGGGCCACAAGTGCCCAAATGTGGACAGCTCAAATTCGTGCATGCTGTGTTCTGGCGGACTGTCCAGACGGACACCGAACTGTCCGCAGGGACATTAACTCTCTGGAACTATCTGCGGGAGCACAACAGAGCCCATGATGCTATGCAAGTTTTGAAACTGAATTTAAATTGTTGATGATGCTCATGATGCTAATGAAAGTGCACTATAGTCACGACCGGGTCGTGACATATTTGGTGAGGACAAAACAATCACCTCATTTTATACAAAAATGACTGGCTGATTGACAAAATAAACGCCTAGTCTATAGACATGACACAGTCAAAGGATTCAACATCACGCTTTGGAAGTTGAACTTGGAAGATGCTTCCCCCCTGGATTGAAGCAGCCATGAGCCAATGCATGACCCCGTCATAGGGTTCAACATCACGCGGTGGGTGGGGGACAAAATCGCCATCAGCTATTACTAGAAAAGCTGACTGATTAACTAGGCAATCAATAGACTAGTATATAGAGAGATACTAATGTGTCATATGTGCTCATGAATCCAAGCAAATATTGTGAGACGCCATAGGAAAGGATGTACTACCACAAGAGAGCCACTGATACAGTACCGATGCTTCTACTTGTACTCTTCAGTCTCACAGTTATGCTGCAGTTCCAAGCGAAGACGGTGGCTTTGCCAGGTTCAAGCTGCCCGAAGCATTGTGGCAATGCTGACATTGTATACCCATTTGGGATTGGCGATGGCTGTGCAATGAAAGGATTTGAGCTCGATTGCAACAAGACTAAGGATGGCCGCAGCATCCTGACGTTCTTCGGCGAAATTCCAGTGCTGAACATATCGGTGCTCAATGGCCAGTTTCGAATCATGAAACACGTCTCAACCATATTTTACCACCTCAACAGCAGGAAGGTCGACACCGACTACTGGGGCCAGGACCTCTCCAACACCCCATTCACATATTCATGGAAGTCCAACATGTTCACGGTTATCGGCGTCGACACTCTAGCATGCATGACGGACAATACTGTAAGTATTAGGTTCACGTACAACAAGAAGTCAAGAACTACTATGTGCAGCGGCTATACGTTGCTAGCTATATGTTTTAGTTCCTCAGTACCATGGACTAGGTACTTTTTAGGCTGCTAATAAATTGGTTGTTCATGTTTATGCAGTATCTGGTTGGGTGTGTGCCAAAGTGCTCGCCCTACAAAAACCTCAAGGCACAAGATGGTATGTGCAGCGGCGATTTCTACTGTCGGGTTGCCCTAACCGCAGACATGTCCGACGATTATGTGTATTTCAATCGTCTGCGCAACACTACAGGTTACTATACCAACAAAAGCGCTACAGACAAGGCAGAGTACCAAGGCTATGCTGTGATTATGGAGACTGCAGCATTCGGGTCCAACACAACATATCTGAACACGACAGCCTTTCTTCATGGGATAAATGAGAGCGATGGCCGTGTCCCAGCGATCTTGAACTGGGTGGTGGGTAACGAGACGTGCGATGTCGCGAGGATGAAGAATGATTCATACGCTTGCCGTAGCAAGAATAGCATGTGCGTTGATTCCGGCAGTGGATCAGGTTACCTCTGCAACTGCACCGAAGGATATCAGGGCAATCCGTACCTTCCTGATGGATGCCATGGTCAGTAACTCAGTATTGCAAGTATACCTTTTGATTCATGCGTACAAGTACAACAAAGAATTTCTCAAAAGAATATATTTACTTATGCAATCCTTGAGCTCTAAGTACAATACCCTGTATGCAGACATTGATGAGTGTGCTGCCAAACAACCTCCATGCGCTGGCTGCAAGAACAAACCTGGAGGTTACTCTTGTCCAGCCCCGAGATCCTTGAACGTTGTGGCACTACCTGTGGGTAAACACACTTTCTCTTATATCTTTAAGAAAAAAAATGTGTTTTCACTTTGCACGTCTTATGCCATTATACCATTACTTATTAATTAGAGACTTACTCCCTCCGTCCAAAACTAAATAACTTTCTAAGGTTTAAAATGTCCCAAAATAAATAACATTCTACACAAACATAGAACACTGCCTTTTAATGCAGAAGCTAATCATGGTTGCATACAAACAACAACTACCAAATCCAATAAACATCCTCTGGGAAAGGAAAGAAGATGAGGGTATATGTGTGTTTGGCAACGTCCTTAATCTATCTAGAAAATTTTAGAACTTATTTATTACTAGTATACTGCATGTGCTAACGCTACAACAACATTCAGGTATATGCAAATTAGAACTGAAATATCATTATCGAAAAAATCTTGACAATACTGCAAAATGCTATTGTTGACTTGAAATTTCAGAGACCAACAAATCAAAAGTGTACTGACAGATTGGGCTGAATGAACTCTATTCTTTTCACCTTGATGATACAATTCTTATTTTCACACAAGCAATATATATGCTAGACATGCAGTTGAAGAGAGACTCTTAATAATTCAACAATAAACACGGTAAATGAAAATAGTGCAGTCCATGAGGAGCATACCTCTGATGTCTTTCATGTTTTCTGTCCCGGTCCATGTTTTCTATCCTGGTTCCGGCCCCTTGCAGGGCTCCTCCCACAGTAATCCTCCCTCGATTATTATATTGAAAAAAATGATAAAAGGGGATTCAGCATGCCATTAATAAACTTGGTAGATTCACTTCAAAAGTGCTCGCAATTTCACGGCCGTTAGGTTCATCAATTTCCATAGGCTCATGACCAATTGATTATTCCTCTATAAAGAGCACCTGCGTAAATTACTGTAGAGTAGTAAAATAAAAATACAACATGTATGCCAACAAACCTCGTCTGATGTCAAGAGGACATCACTGAGCCTCAACGCATGCTCAAGTGCTCTCTGCTTATCCAAGGTCACATGTAAGAGAAATTTCCCGCGGGGACCAGGATCAAAAAACACTGTTGTTCCCGAATCAATTGCACAGTCGATAGAGGATGCGATCACATCAGGGAAGAACTCATCAAAAGCGTAGCCATTACAAAACAGTATTTTGGAGTGATGAAAAGCTAGCTCCTCACTGAAGTCTGCACGGCTGTCATTGCAAAGAAAGCAACACTGATAAATGACCAAGCACATTAAACCAGAAAGAAAGGATTAGGCTGACATGAATTTCGTAACGGTAATTGAAACAAGAATAAGAATTTTGTTCCAAGAAAGCATGTTGTAACCTGTAAAAACCTTGTTTCTGAAATGGGTCTACAAGAACCCAGCATAGAAGTGTTTCATAGACCTGGCGGCATGCAGTAGCATTGGTATTTTCAAGCATCCCAACAACACTAATGCCCTCTGCTTGAAGCACATCAAGAAGAAATTTTCCATATATTTCCTCTCCTACATGCCCCAGAGTGGAACAACCAAGCCAAGCCTAGCTGCAGCAAAGGCTAAATTGCAGTTTCCACCGGCCTCCCAAAATTTCTGTTAAAGTGATAGAATACAAAATGTTCAGAACATACAAAAACCAGATATTGCATTACGTGGGGCTCATGAAGCGTTAGACATAAGTCACTCGTGGAGTTCTTAGATGACAGAATAGTAAACATACTGATATACAATCCGGTTCTCGACATTTCTCCAGAAAGTAGCAACCAAAAATATAGCTACCAACTACATTTTTGCCGTTCCATTTCTGAAATCATGATTAGCCTCACAAAAACAGCTACGGATTACAAGCTTATCCATATTGAACCATCAACATCTGTTGTTAAGGCTCGACCTATCCTCCACCCAGCTAAAAAACGACATAAAGTGGAAACAATGCAAGCCTTCCAGTCAACAGCGGAATTTGTAATAACCAAATAAAAAATCCCACAGCCAACGACCATACATTTCTGGTTCATCACACTATGTCCAAACAACAAATAGCTCCGGAGCACTGTTTTGCCAACACGATTAGGGAAGGGTGACCGTAACTGATCGGGCGGTGAGGCGGCGAGGCGCTCCATGTAGGCCTTCCGCTACTCCCGTGGCTCGGGCGGGAGCTGGGGCACGCTGAGCACGACGTCGACGCAGAGGTTCCCGAGTGTGCCGATGTCCGTGTTCTTCCTCCTGTCCTCCCCGGCCTCTTGCGGCGCCCCACGCCTCCTGGCCTCGTTGACTGCCCCTGAGACGGCGGCAGCGACGATGCGCCGCGTCCACACCGCGCCGCCGCTTCCCTGCCGCAGCGTCGTCGCGCCGCCGCATCCGCCCCGCACCGCCGCCGGTGAGACAAATCGATGCCTCGCTCGGCCCATCCTCGGCACCGGCCCGTTGGGTTCCGTCGCCGGGATCTGGACGGAGCATGCCGGAGTACTCGAGCAGCGCGGTGAGCGCCGCCTGATGAAGCTGGACGCCGAGAAGTGCACGCCGTACCTCCTGGACGGCACGGGCGGCCAGCTATTCGCCTCGTCGTCCGGCCTGGGTGGCCGCGGCGGCGGTCTGAGTGATGGCCGCGGGCGTGGCCGGCCTAGGGGCTTGCGGGCCGGGCCAAGGCTCCCTCCTCTCTCTCTCTCTCTATCTCCTGGTGCTCGCGCACGACGAATCCCCCGCGCCCGCACGGCACGCGCGCGTTCCTGTGACGCGGCGGAGGGGATATGGCGGCTGCTAGGGTTTGGGGTGACACCCAAACTGCCCCGTGCGGGAGCGAGGGAGTTGGGCCGACTCTAGACTGCGGCGGCCGGGCATGGAGGAGGGGAAGAAGCGGCGCCGGCCATGGAGGAGTGAGCTCGCTCCCGCGGCGGCCCTCCCTGCGCGGATGGTGTTTCATTTTTTTACCATCAGGAGGGATCGAACCGTGGCCGTAATGCTGGGGGCGTGGGGCCTGGGGGCGGAGAGTTGCGGGTTGGTGATGGAGGTGGAGCAGGTGGAGGCTAGGGTCCGACCAGGGTGGCAGCGAGGCGACCGTCGATCACCCTGTTTTTTTTTTTTTTCAAATCGTGCGCACGCTCTGCGGTAATGGGTTATTAATTGGACCCGAGCCATCACATGTAAAGGCCACACACATGAGGCAATACGACACCGCAGCAGCGTTGGCTTCCGTGAAGACTGCATGCATGGTGATGGAGCTTATGGACATGCTGATGTCATTCATTTTTAGAATTGAAAAAAGTTACAGCTACTAAACCTTGCATCTAAATAAAATTCTGATTGCACCATTGTGTTTCTTACAATAAATTCTTAAAAAAAAGACCCCACATGGGTATGTTTAGATAAAATTTTATTTACGAACATTTATCTCATAAAGATAGAATATTTTTCTTTTATGAAATAGAGACGATGTTCTAGTTTTTGAAAACAATGTTCCGTGTTCACAAACAAAATGTTCTAGGTTCAGAAAAATAATATTCCAAATTTAGTAAAATAAAACATTATATTCATATGAATGGAATTGTATTATCGGTGAAAATGAAAAAAAATTACAAATGTTCTGAAATATATAGAAACAATAAAATAATAAAAACATAAATAAAAATATTAAAGTACTAAAAGATAGAATAAAACATAAGCGAAACATAAATAATAGAAAAAAGGCACGTAATAGATTGACGATGTTTTAGGTTTAGGAAATAATGTTCTACTTTCAAAAATAATATTCTCGAATTAGGAGCACGGTATTCTAGATTTAGAATAAAATAATTCTAGGTTTATGCGAACTGTATTATAATATCATGAAAAATAAAAAAATAACAAATGTTATGAAATATATAGGAATAATTAAATAAAAAATGTTAAATAGAAATACAAGATTAATAATTATATAGGACAAAACTTAATAAAAAAGCCACGCAATAGATGAGGTTTAAATTCCATGTAATAGAGAAAAACAAAAAAATACTAAATCTCCTGCTACAGTATGATACTAAGTGAATAACATATAATAAGCCATGGAATATCTAACGAAAACATCATGCCAAGATATAAAAATAAATAAGGTATGATCATGGATAGAAGAAACAATTATATGAAATGTAACAGAAAAATAAGAAAACTCACGAACACTACATGAACACTCAAATATAATCGTTGAACATCCTATTTATACTATATGAACATAACAAAATATATCAAAGAACATATATATTATACGAATGTTACAATAAGATATATGGGAAAACGGAAATAATAAAAAAGAAAAATATGTAATAGAGGAAAACAAAGAATAAATATATCACAGAAAATCTCATAAGTACTATGTGAATACTCAAAGATAATTACGGAGCACCTTGCTTATACTATGTAAACGTCCAAAAACATATTGTAGAATATCACATATATACTACACGAATGTCATGTGCAAAATATTTAATTACGGCAAAATAAACACAAAGATAAAAAGAAAAAGAAAGAAAAATAAGAATAAGACTCCACGGAGAAAAAACAAATAATAAAATGAAAAGAATAAAAAGAAGACCACATGAAACAAAAGAGAAAAGAAACATGAAAAGAAAATAGTAGCAATGAATGAAAGAAAACAAAAAAAAAAAGAAACGTACGCTATCGTAGCTCTACGTGCGCGTTGCCAACCAGGTCGACATAGATGCGTGCGACGACCAGGTCAAAAGAAGATGCCATGTTGATATATTTAGATAAAAGAATATTAGAAAAAAGGGAAAAAATACAAATAAGAAAAATAAAAGAAAAACAAAAACAAGAATTGAGAAAGGAAGAAAAATTAAAATAAAATATACGAACATCCCATGGAATAAGATCAACAAAAATAATAAACGGCAATAAAAGAATAATAAAATTAATAGAAAAGGAAGAAAAAATAAATGAAAAGAAAGAAAAGAAAGGAAAGGGAAAAACAATCACGTAACAGTGGGAAAATAAAGAAAGAAAAGTGAAAAAAATAAAAGAAGAAAATTCCACAACAAATAAAAGAAATAAAAGTGGAAAAAGAAATTAAAAGAAAGAAAAGAAGAAAAATAAATAAAAGAAAGATTCCACAACAAACAAAAAAGGAAAAAGGAATACAAACAACGAAAGAAAGAAAGAAGAAGTTGTCATACCTGTACGGAGATACAGAGAGGAAGAGCGTTGCGAGTAAGGATGACAACGGATCGGGTTTGGGGCGGATATTCGCGGGTTTCGGGTTCGGGTTTGGGGATGGTTTTTCACCCACGGTTTTCGGGTTCGGGGCCCCGAAACCAATCGGGTTCGGTTTCGGGTTTGGTTTTCCACCCGTGGATATCCAATGGATATCCGAAATAAATCATTTGGAATTAAAACTCATGTTTTATAATATACTAATAATAATTTGTTTACTTAGATTATTAAATTTATTTAAAGTTGACTCATAAAAATATTTATTATTTGTTGCCTCTTGTTTATACATGTGAATATGTGTATATATATACGCGGGTTTCGGGTATCCATTCGGGTTTCGGGTATCCGTTCGGGTTTCGGGTATCCGCGGGTTTGGTTTTGGTGATGGATTTCCACCCGAATCGGTTTTCGGGGCAGATTCGGGTTTCGATTTTGGGTTTTGGTTTTGGGTGCATGGAGACTCCACCCGATCCGAACCTGACCCGTTGCCATCCTTAGTTGCGAGGAAGGATGCGTGGGAAGGATCTACAACTGCGACTTGCTCCGAACGTGGGCCAGCGAATGAACGTGGGCCGGGCTCGTTCTGCAGGCTTGCTAGCTGCCTGGTCGGCGGGAGGCTTCGGTCTGATTGGTCGGACCAGGGCCTTGATTAGATTGCAAATTTTTGCAATCTGGACACTGTAGCACGTTTCGTTTGTATTTGACAAACTTTGTCCGATTATGGACTAACTAGGCTCAAAAGATTCATCTCGTGATTTACAACCAAACTGTGTAATTAGTTATTTTTTTTACCTATATTTAATGCTCCATACATGCGTCCAAAAATTGATGTGATGGAGAGAGAGTGAAAAAACTTAGAATTTTGAGGCAATCTAAACAAGGCCCAGATGATTTCCAGGCATAGGGTCAGTTAGATTTCAGTAAGGAGGACCATAACGTCAGTTAGATTTGAGTAATGAGAGTGAAGACTCAGAAGTAATTTGGATGATTGGTTTCTTTTTTTTTTTCTAGGTACAGTTTTTGGGTGACTGGATGAGAGGCTATCTCAGTGGCAGATGTTTCATGGGGTAGCCTTAGTGATGAAAACAATGGTACATTAGTAGGGTAGATAGGATGAAGGGAGCCCCAGATTAATTCTTATGAAACACACTAAAAAATCATAAAAATTACCATGGAAGCATGAACATACTACTATCAAATAACCTCTACCATTATGAAAAACACCTAAAGCTAAGTAATCCAATAAGACTTTCATCTAAATTTATATCTAAATTTCTCACCTCTTCCATTATGGAAAACACCTAAAGCTATGTAATCCAATAAACTTTCATCTAAATAACCCACATATATGTGTCATTATTAAATACAATCTAATTTAAAGTATCCCTAAATTTGTATCTAAACTAGTAATGCCTAAATTTTCATCTAAACTACCTAAAAAGTAGTTTATCTTTGATTCTAGATTGCCCACTAATTTCATTGTTAATATAAAAAAAACTATCTCAAATCGCATGATGCCCCGTCACCATGCACGGCATAGGTTGTGCGATGCAAAGATAAAACTATGAATCGAGATGCAAATGCCTATATAATAATGGGTAACTAAAACCTATCACAACCATAAAAAAAATGTACATGTCGGAGTATTGTGTTAGAATACGAACAGAGAGAGAGCAAAGATAAACAGTTTTGATTAGGTATATTGGCCTCAAACTTATATGTAAACTTGTAACATTACTCCTTCATCCCAAAATAAGTGCGCATCTTGCTTATCGAGGAATCAAACCTTTTTAAATTTGACCAAACATATACATAAAAGTATTAATATTTATGATGTGTAATGAGCATCGTTATATTGATCGTGAAATATATTTTAATTTTAATACTAAGCTTATTTAAAGATACTACTATTTTCTATATAACTAGTAAAATTTAAAAAAGTTTGACTCCTCGGTAAGTTTAACATGCATTTGTTTTGAGACGGAGAGAGTATGTCTTTTATATAACCAGCCCATGTAGGAGAAGTTGATTATCTTGTTAAAATTTGTAATGATAGTAATTGTCTGAAAACCCCACACAGGTTCAAGCATTGGGGTTGCAATTGTGGTCATAGCCATGACCTGCACGTACTTGATCCATGAAAGGAAGAAGTTGGCCAAAATCAAGCGGAAGTATTTCCAACAGCATGGCGGGATGCTTCTATTGCAGGAGATAAGCTTAAAGCAAGGAACTGCTTTCACCATCTTCACAGAAGCAGAGCTCATTGATGCAACGGACAAATTCGATGACAGGAACATCCTTGGCCGTGGTGGCCATGGCACTGTCTACAAGGGGATGCTTAAGGAAGGCAGTCTGGTCGCAGTCAAACGGTGTGTATCAATGACCAGTGAGCAGCAAAAGAAGGAGTTTGGCAAAGAGATGCTAATCCTTTCCCAGATCAACCACAAGAACATCGTTAAGCTACTGGGCTGCTGCCTCGAGGTAGAGGTTCCAATGCTAGTTTATGAGTTCATCCCCAATGGCACACTATTTCAGTTCATCCATGGTAGCAATGGCTGTCACAACATCCCCTTCTCGACTCGCTTACACATTGCCCTCGAGTCTGCTGTAGCCTTAGCTTACCTACATTCATGGGCTTCACCTCCAATTCTTCATGGTGATGTCAAATCATCCAATATACTCCTTGACAAGAACTATGCACCTAAGGTATCTGACTTTGGGGCCTCGATAGTAGCACCGACTGATGAGTCTCAATTTGTCACACTTGTGCAAGGGACTTGCGGTTACTTAGACCCTGAGTATATGCTGACGTGCCAGTTGACAAATAAGAGTGATGTTTATAGTTTTGGGGTCGTTCTCCTAGAGCTTCTCACTGGCAAGAAGGCCTTCAACCTTGAAGGGCCTGAAGATGAAAGAAGCCTTTCACTACGTTTCTTATGTGCTATGAAGGAAGGCAGACTCATGGACATCATTGACAACTGCATCAAAAATGAGAATGACATGGGGTTGCTCGAGGAAGTCGCGGAGCTTGCAAGTCAGTGCCTAGAGATGGTCGGCGAGAGGCGACCGGCAATGAGCGATGTGGCCGAGAAGCTGGACAGGCTCAACAAGGTCATGCAGCACCCTTGGGTGCCTGCGCAACATCATTCTGAAGAGATGGAGAGCCTGCTCGAGGAGTCGTCGATGGTCAGTTTAGAGATGATAGGCACAGGAAATTTCAGCATGGAGAAGAAGATTGTGCAAGGGCTGTGGGAGTCTGGGCGTTAGACTTGACACCATCGTACCACATATTCATAGTGATGGTCTTGTATATGTGTACATACGTCTGTTCGTTTCAGCGTAATATATACATATTCCATAATTACATTTCTTTGGGAGAACTTGGTTATCTAATTTACTTGAGTAGAACTAATGGACACAGTGTTTACTATTGTGGTTTGCGACCTCTTTCCATCACTCGTCATTTCCAGTCTCTCCGACCTGGAACGGTGAAATCTGATGAACGCGACAGATAATATCTATATTATCAATTCTGTAGGACCGAAGGATGTGGAGTCGTAGCAAGGTGCTGGTGGGCCACCGGTTGTGCCTGCTAGGGGGAAATTGGTAACTGCATATTGAAACTCTGCATTGACACTGGCATAAGCAAAAAACGAATTTATGGTTTTCAAGCAAACGTTAGCGCTGAAGAATTGAATGAAAACATGCACATACACTAGCTCCTGTCAATAAAAAGAATGGTCCCTGTCTCTCTGCAGCTAGTTCGAGGTCATGGGAAGCCTTGATCCAAAACTAGATAAATGCCCGTGCCGTTGCACCATGAAAAAATAATGTTACAATAACATATGTATGAATATGTGTTGTACTCTTTGTTAGAAGATTTGGACGGGCCCAAATAATAATTCCAATAAGTTCCAAAGGCCCACTCACACATGCATGGTACGGTGGGTGACTTTAGTCCCACACTGCTACTCTAGGAGGAGTGAAGCGAACTTAAATAGCTGAGTTGTCTCCAACTAGTTGAAACTATCGGGGAGAGAAAAAGTAAGAAACACACGCGTGCGCACGCCTCGCCGGGTGGGGGCGTGCGACGTGAATGGTCCGGTGAATTCTTGCTTGGCTTCCTTTTGTGTCCCTGCAAGGGGTAGCGGCATACGTCTTCTTCCCTCTATGCCGGTGTTCGTGGGTCTCCATCGACGGTTTGCTTCGTCTACTTTTGTAAGAATGTCTATACTTTCTCTGTTGTTCATTCTCGCGTTCCTTCTGTTACTAGCACTAGGGAGTTTGAGTTTGCCTCAGATCGTAGTGCTAGTGTCTTTGATTTATGATCTACTAGAATATGTAGCTGAGATAGGTTTGATTTTGTTGAATCGCACACCTATGATACATGCTGCTATTCTTTTTCTCAGTACCTGAATTAATTTATTCGTCACTAAATTGCTATTATTTCCAATAATCCAAAAACCTGATAGGCATTTAGTGATGACTGGTTATTCTAATGCGATGAAACCAGGGAAGTTCACTGGTGTGAATTTCAAGAGATGGCAGACGAGAGCCCAGCTGTGGCTCCCGGCTATGGGTGTGTTTAGGGTCATGAGTAATCCTCCTGCACTATCTCTCGGATCTGAGAAAGAGGTGCAGGAATTTACAACGGCTACAACGATTTTCGTTGGATGCGTCCTTAGCGTTCTCTGTGTGTGTGATGTTTATATGAACATCAAAAGTGTTGCAGAACTGTGGGAGGCGCTTGAACACAAGTTCTCTGCCTTAGACGCTGTGCACGAGCTGTATGTGATGGAGCAGTACCACGACTTCAAAATGGTTGACAATCGTTTTGTCGTGGAACAGGCTCATGAGTTCCAACTCATTGTGAAGGAGCTCGAACAGCTTGGACACGTCTTGCCTGATAAGTTTGAGCGGGTGGCATTATTGCCAAGTTGCCTTTATCATGGAGGAACTTTGCCACAATTCTAAAACATAAAAGATAGATAATCTCCGTTGAAGATTTGTTGGCAGGTCTTGATGTTGAAGAGAAGGCTCGGGCAAAGGATGCTCCACCAAGAGCACCCGAAGGGCAGTCCAGCGCCAACATGATGCAGCAAGCTAGGAAGAAGAACCAGAAGGGAAAAAGAAAAGGCTAATCAGACTACTCAATTCAAGAAGATGAAGATGAACATGGACGAGGTTATCTGCTTCATTTGCGGTGAGAATGGGCACTTTGTCGAGAAGTGCAAAAACCGCAAGGGCAAGAAGAATCAGCCGGGGCAGAAATCTGCCAACGTGACTATTGGCAATCCTAGCGGAGGCTCTGGGTATGGTAATTTACCTAAAGTATTTTCTGTATGTCAATCTGATGATTTGTGGATAGATACAGGAGCCAATATCTCCATGTTTCCATCAGGTCGCGCGAGGTTCAACCGTCATGATGGGGAATGGCTCGCATGCTACTGTTCTTGGTGTTGGTTCGGTTGATCTGAAGTTCATTTCGGGAAAGATCGTATGGCTCAAGAACGTGCAGCATGCCCCTCAATAAAGAAGAACCTTATTAGTGGATCCCTTTTGTGTCAAGATGGATTCAAGCTGGTCTTTGAGTCAAATAAAGTAGTCATTTCGAGGTATGGCCAATTTATTGGCAAAGGCTATGATAGCGGAGGCTTGTTCCGCTTTTCACTTTTCGATTTTTGTAATAAATTAGTGACCCATGTTTGTGATTCAAATAATTCTGTGGCTGATGTATGGCATCCTCGTTTGTGTCACATTAATTTTGGTTGTATGTTGTGGCTATCCAACATGAGTTTAATTCCTTTTTTTTGTTGTCAAAGGTTCTAATTGTCAAGCATGTGTGCAAGCAAAGCAACCTCGTAAGCCACACAAGGTTGCAGATGAGAGGCACACAACATTATTAGAACTCATGCATTCTGATAATTGTGAGATGAATGGTGTGTTGACAAAAGGACGAAAAAGATACTTTATGACTTTGATTGATGATGCAACTAGGTACTGCTATGTGCTTCTACTAAAAACTAAAGATGAGGCACTAAAATGTTTTAAGACATAAAACTAAGGTGGAAAATCAATTAGAAAATAAAATAAAATGTGTTAGGTCTCATCGTGACGGGGAGTATTTTTCCAATGAGTTTAATCTTTTTGGTTCAGAGAATGGAATAATTCATGAACGGACACCTCCCTATTCGCCTCAATCTAATGGGGTTGCCGAAAGAAAGAACCGGACATTAATGGACTAGGTGAATGCCATGTTAGGAACGTCTGGTATGGCAAAGGCATGGTGGGGGAGGCTGTTTTGACAGCATGTCATGTTCTGAATGGAGTTCCCACTAAAAATAGTGACATGACTCCATATGAAGGATGGAAAGGAAGGGAACCAACACATCATTACATGCGTAGGTGGGGTTGTTTGGCCATCGTTAGCGTACCAATTAATAAGAAATGCAAGCTTGGACCTAAAGCAGTTTGATTGTTTCCTTTTAGGATATTGTTGGTATTTCTTACGTTCACAGATAAATCCACAAGCGCACGGAATACCACTGTAGCACTTCACTGGGAGTATTCCAAGTATCGTATTTATCCACAGTGAAACAATGGAATAAAGAGTGTTGAATAATAACAAAGGAGTATCTACTAATTAACATACCAACATAGCTAGAGCAAGGGTAAGTGTACTAATAGGAATTATAATCTAATGTCACTCAGAGGAGATATCCATAAAGATAAGATAGACTAGTTAACTCAGGAGAACAACGGGTGAGGTAGATTCCTATGATATTCTTATTACAAGGTCATAGCATATATATATATATATACATATATATACATATATATATATACTCGACTATACCTAAGGCTAACTCTACTCTTGTGCATTTTAGGACGCCGCTAGAAGGTAAAGCATCGCAAGGGATAACTCAGCCGACGTGACTACGGTCCTACAGATTTAAGAACCTACTCAACACGGGTTGGACTACAAATGATAGATGGGGCTGTCACCACCCGCTACCTACCACACGACCAGGGAGCAGGGTGCACTCACAGGCAGAGCAACGTGTAAGCACCACGCTTACACGAGGCTCGGCTAATTAGCCTGATTGATAAACTAGTAGGCCAAGCGCTATGTGAACCCACGCATAAAAGTAAAGAGAACCTTAACTAAGCAAGATTTATAATTGAAGTAAATGTAACCATGTAGATAAGAATATGATATATTAATAATGAAGTCTCATAAAATATGAAAGTTAGGATACAAGGACTTTACCGAGCCTCCGAGACTAGATCTGAAACTTGAGCATGAGCCCAACTCGACCCCAACTCCTGAGCTACTAATCTACTACATTGGAGAGCTCTAGATTTATTTCCCCTGGTGTGTCTGGATATGAATGGATGGGATGCCTTTCTGGAGGGGTCTGGGGTCCTTTTATAGGGGCACCAGCCACCCTGTGGGCCCATGAATCCGTGGCATGGCTCAATCTTGACTCTCCATCCGAACTGACCTTAATAAATGGTGGAGATTGATCCTTAAAGGCGATGAATGAAATATGAGACTGAATGGTGGGTCTAGGGGGTCGGCCAACCCCACTTCAGGCTCTCTAGGCCATCCTCTATCTTCTAGAAGGTGTCCCACTTGTCATAGAGTCAAAATGGAAACTTGGTGGGTCCTTGGGTAGGTCCGTCGACCCCACTTCTGGCTCCATCCGATGTGGATCTTTATCATTTGTCTTGGACGGTGGATTAGAGACCAGTGAAGTTGGTTTTGTGTTGAATGGACTTGATTTGTTGTGATAGCATGGCCCACTTTGGTACATTGTTTTGGATAAACCCTCCTACATTTATAGAATCACCAAAACTCGTGGAAGTACTTAGTTTAAACCTCTACACCTATGTTGATGATTGATTTTAAGGATAAATGCAGATCAAAATGATGGTTTATAATTGGCGTTAACGATCGTCAATAGATAATTGCTCATCAAGTTTAGAGTCCATGAGCAGGACTATCTCACCTTTCTTGATCAAACTTACCATGGCTCACAATTTGAGATAGAATTTGTGAGTAGTGCAGCGTCTATATTCATCATATGGGATGAGATTTGAATTTTTGTGATGGCGATCTTTTCTCCGATCTACACATGGTTAGAGTAATATATATGTCTATACAAACCTGTGAGATGGCAGAGTTCTAGTGTTGATGGATCATGATCATTCAGGCACCCTGGGTTCTTCAATATTTCTTCTTTTTCTTGTGGAAATTCACCGGA